AAAAATTGCAAAAAAAATTTCCCAATGTGGCGGGGGAACCCCCCCCCCCCCCCGTTCGCGCCGTCCCTGGTGGTACTGGAATCACTTCTACTACAATCGATTGATCAGAGTGTCACTTACTTCAATAATTCCTATGAGAATATTGGTAAAAACACTTCATATATTTCGTATGGTCCGCAATGGGCATATGCTGCAATGGCACCGTATCGAATGGCAAAAGGACATATCACAGAGGGTGGAGTTCGATGTCCGGCTATTGTTCATTTTGGTCCATTGACATCGACATCGACATCGAGAAGTGTATGAAATTAGCTTTGTACTGTCATGGATATTCTACCGACGGTACTCGAGCTAGCTGGTGTCACACATCCTGGAACGACGTTTCAAGGACGAACAGTTATGCAGCCTCGTGGGAAATCGTGGGTACCACACCTTCGATCTCATGAACCGATTCATGATGAATGCCAAGACTTCACTGGCTGGGAGCGGTTTGGTGAGCGGGCAATTCGTCGTGGAAACTATAAGGCTGTCTATATTCCCAAAGGACCACCGCCTGGAGAGACCAAGTGGGAGTTGTACGATTTAATGCAAGATAATGGTGAACTGAAAGATTTAGCAAGAGAAAAGCCGAATATATTGAAGGAATTGATTGAACTTTGGTTCAAGTATGGCAATGAGACGGGTGTGATCGTATCACCCGATCCTTACGAAGTTAGATACCACGGTCTGTAAGACAAAGGACAGCAGGTGTGTAACTATGACTATGACCAAACGTGTGTCGAACACTAACATCTACATTTAAACCCTATGCATAAAGCACATCAATTTTTATTTCATTTTCTCTTTTTACTTCTGTTCTCACTTTCTGATAGATAGACCTTCTCTTTGTTATTGTTCTACAGTTGCCACAAGCATGAATGAGATAGAATCGCTTGTATCAGTCAAGTAATTAATCAAATCGTGCAATTGATTTCATATTCGAAATATTTTTATGACTAACTCAATGGTGTAGTGCGAATAGTAGGTCTCTTTCCATCCACTTTAATGAATTTGTCAATTATAATGTTGCTTCTGGCTTAAATGCTTCAATTGATATTTTTTTTTATCAATTTGATACCTCGGAGTATAACATTCATTCACAGTTTTAAGAAAGCAAAATTGTTTCATCTTCTCTTTCTGAGCAATTAAATATAGCTTCCGGTATGACAAATATCAGTATAAATATAGGAAGAGTTGGCATCGTTAAAAAAAGAAACGTTTATACTTCGATCGATAACGTTGATCTATATCATAAACAACGATAAAGAAATATTCGGTGAGTGTAGCATTAAACCTCGAAATTATTTAAAAGTGATGCTGTCACAAGCAGAAAACGACGCGGAAGGTTGAGGATGTGACTGTGAACGCGTACCAGTAGAAATACAAGAATAAAAAGACGATCTGGATTCTGAATGGTCGATACGGTTATTGTTGTATGCAGGTCAGCCTAGACCAGCCAATCTACCGATATAGGTTCTGTCTCTAAATAATGATATGTGTCCACCGAATAGCTATGGCGTAAAAAGAGTTTTTCAACGAAAAGCGTTTTTTTTTCCATCAAAACTCAATATATGGAGTTGGGTTTTAAGCAAGCTTTTAATGCTTCTGATCTCTATTTTAATCGAAGGATAAAACAAAATAAAATTTTATTGCTATAGTATACATCGATTGGCATTTGTTAACAATAAAACTACACATTGTAATATAGAGAGATTTTTCAGAATAAACTTGTTTTTTTTTTCGTTGCCCTGAATTGAAATCAGCAATATGATACAAAAACAAATGCAAACACGTCTTGTTATTCTATTGTTTTTGGTAACATCGACAAGTAAGTCAACAATTATTACTGCTCAAAAAAGCCGATGCAGTTAATACTAGTTGGAGGTCAGCATGAACGACGTTTGTTGAAACATCTCTTCATTAAGCAACAGCATGATCCACTTGAACGGCCAACTAAAAATGACTCAGAAAGTGTTTCTGTTCATTTAGCGTTCAGTTTTATAAATCTCATCGACTTTGTAAGTAAGATTAAAACTTGATTTTGTCTTACATTGTCTATTCATTGAGAATGAATAGGATATAAAGAATAACGTACTTATTACTAAATTCTGGATGACTCAAGTATGTATATTTACTGATAAATCTTTAGATTCTTTTCACATATCTATGCAGACATGGCAAGATTATAGTATGACATGGAAGCCGCAGTTGTATGGTAATATTGATGCAATACGGATACCGACTACAAAAATTTGGCTACCAGATATTGTTCTGTACAACAGGTAGACCTTTAAAAAAATTAACATGTTTTCCATATAAAGATTTCTTTTTGCTAAGTGTTGATGAAAACTATGACAATTACATGAAAACTAATGCAGTTGTTGCACATACTGGACAAATTCTATATGTTTCACCGAGAATATTCAAGTCAACATGTTCATTCAACACTTCGTCGTTCCAAATTGTAAGTATCTTCTATTCTCAAAAGATTTAGTTTGTTTACCGATTTCATCTTATCATTGTTGCTTGTATTTTGTTGGATACACAAACCTGTAATTTGAAATTTGGATCATGGACATTCGATAAGACTGGTACGTAATAGAATATATTTTTTTAGTTTCTTTCGAACAAGACAGAACACAATAAAAGATCATCTGCATAATGTAAGCGAATAATATTTAGGAATCAACATAACAACATCAACCAACACAATTGATTTGAGTTCGTATGTCATCAATAACAAATGGAAGCTAATAGGTAAATAATATGTGACTTTCTGACAATTCATTTGTTTTTTGTCTGTTTCAGATTCTTACATGACGCTTAATGAAGTGAAGTATGAGTGCTGTCCTCAGGCGTATCTATCCGTCGTGTTAACTATTAAAATTCGTCGAGTACTTGATGACTTTCCTATAAATATCAATGGTACTGAAAACGAAGATAAATAATCCTACGTCACCAATAAATACATTTATTCGTTTATGCTTTATTGTATCTTGTTTTCGGATCATTTGTGAGTTTTTCACCCTCCCGCAAAGTTATCAAATTAAGACATAACATGACCAAGGAAAAAAAGAAGTTGTCTTTTAGTTTATACAATTATGTTTCATTCAACGTCGTCTATTTTCCTGGATGCATTCGATAGATAAAAACATTTTTAATGCAACTAGTGATTTCCATTTGATAATAATCAAAATATATGGTTTAAATAATCTCCTATTACGTAAAAAATATTTCTTTTTATTGATGAAGCATTTTTAGACGAGCACCTTGCTATCCGTACTGACTGATTCTCATATTTAGAATGCATCTTTCTCTTGATTTACAAAGTCATGGAGTAATATTATCATATTTCATGGGTAGTTAGCTATCAGAATATCATCAGGACGAGTCGATATGATTTGAAAAAAGAGTAGTTGCTTAGCCCATCTTTTGCATACTTGGGAAGATTCATTCTAGTTTTCTTAATGAATAAACATAGTTAAGACTACGATTGGACATGTGATTTGTATAGAAAATGTCATAAAATAATCTTCATATTGAATGAGATTATTTTCAACTTCTGTCTAATTATAATTTTGAAAAGAATTTCATTGTAGCTGTACTGTTCTTGAAGAACAATCGGATCTATGAATTTAATCATGAATATTGGATTTGGATAGTTTAATTAGTTTTAATCGGATAGCATTCTTCTTTCGACTCTTCCCTAATAATCTGGACAATGCTGTTTATAACGAATGAGATTATAGTTTGAAGTATAAATTGCCATAAAAACACAATATACTATTTTTCTGTCATCTCTTTGACAAAAAGAAAACTGAAGAAAAAAACGAGTATTATATGAAAAATATTACCGCTTCCAAGAATTACTTGTAGCCCATTATAAGCAAAGTACACGTGAGTGAACATCAAAATGTCTACATGGACTCGTAAGAAAGATCCCGCCCCTTATGAAACAGCAGAATATATCATAGGTGGTATTATTCCCATTTTTCTGATTGTGGTTGGTACTGTGGGTAATCTTGCCAGCATTATTGTTTTACTCAAGAAAGAAAATCGCAAAACATCGACCAATATCTATTTAATGTTTTTGTGTCTGGTGGATACTATTTCACTTTACCAATGGAATTTAAGTCGCACAGTAGATACATTAACGTACGCTCGTCAAACAATATGAGGTGCATCATCGGAGATGTGCAAATTGAGTCAATTTTTTGCCTTTTATAGTTTATATACATCGGCTATGTTTCTTACTTTTGTTGAGTTTGATCGAACTTGCTTATTGAGAAGTAGGTGGTATAAGAACGAAATAGCCCGGCCATGTTATCGTATTGATCTTTTGCATTATTATTCTGGTAGCTGTATTGGCATTAAATGGCTTCTTATTCGGATTAGACTTTGAATATTCGACGTACCATAATAGTACAGGAGAAGTAAAACAGTTTATAGCATGGTCTTGTTCTCTGAATGTTGGCCTCGATAATTTCTACGCGATTGCATACTCATCGGTAAGGATTCAACTAGAAATATAATTACAATCGATGTTTTTTTCTTATAAAGATTCACCTGGTCATCATGTATTTTCTACCATTTGGAGTTATCATTATTTGTACACTTCTTACAGTTAAAAAGCTATTTGTTAGACTAACATAAAAAAATCATCAAATGATAAGAAGTGCTGAGCTGAAGCTTCGAATTTCAGTGGTGCTGTTACTAATTTGTTTGGCATATCTTATTTGTACTCTACTTACCCGTTTGTGATTTTCCGTCTTCAGGGATCCGACTATTGGGCATAACTATACGGATACAGTTTGCCTTGCCTCAAGCACTCTCATGTATACAAGAAATGCTACTACCGATCGATTTGTTTTTGTACATATCTGTCTATGGATTTCGACAAATAATACGTGAGTTTGTTTTAAAATATCTTGGCAAATTACCAAATCAAGTGGGTTGAAAAAGTGAAATAACACCAAGAAATAATGAGTTTATCACAATGAACGTTACAAAACAACTGCGCATGACAACAAACAATATCGTCAAATATTAAATGAATTATTCATTCTACATTCTTCTATAACAATCGAATGCTAAATAACATCTTAGTTAGTATTATTCGTTGTCGTATTAAAAATTTAGTTCGCTATTGTGATTGTAAAACTTCTGTTTACTTACAAAATAAAGCTGATTTATTTCTCTGAATTTTTCCATATGAAAAAAAAACAACGATAAGAAAATGTAGATTTATCAGAGAACATTTACAGCTTTTGAATGCTCTCCTTTCTAGACTTAACCATACTGTATACGTCAGGGAGCTGACTCTACGGCAGAACAACTTCCTGCTTATGGCTTGTCGCTGAGGAGATCCGCCATTTTTACTTTGTGCAGCCATAGAAGTTGTTAAATATTGAGACTGAGAAGTAGGTGAAAAGGGACCGGAAAACTCTTTTGTCTGGAATAGTGTGGGTGTTTCAAATGGCAACATGTACCCTAGTGGAAATATTCGATAAACGAGTACGATTTACTAGCGGAAGTACTCAGCTTTCTCAGTGGAGTACTCACCTTCATTTACTATGCAATAAATCATTATAATGTACTATCGTTTACAAAATAAAATACAGTTGTATACGAAAGAAAAATTATGAAATAAAATCAAAACTTGAAAATAACTATTCGGACGATTCATCCATTGTATCCTTCATTTTTCGAATGAGATTAAATATGGATCTATAGATATACAAATAATTATACGTTCAATTTGAATTTCTAAATATTAGATGAAATGTCGTTTCAGATTAGTAAATAAAGTTTCTTATTGACGCAGAAAATTTATCAAACAAACGATAAAAGATTCATTTCGATATAAATCAATGAAATTTCACCATTATGAAGGCATATGTGTGTTAGTGAAGACATTAAATTTATTTTTCTGCATATTATTGAATAAGTCTAGTTATAAGTAAAAAAGCGTTTGTTTTCCTAGTGATCTTTAATATGCGCTTATTTGTGATCGTTGTAACGATTAATAAGACTCTGTTGAGTTTATATCGTATTGACAAACTGGATAGAGGTGGAGTAGCTTACAGCCACTCACGGCAATGATGTTTATTCGTTTATTCACATACCCAGAGTGTAACGACTTCATACATAACACACGTATATATAGGAGAGAGAGATAGAAGAGAGACAGGAGAGAGATATATTATAATAATGGAAAGAGAATAGAAGGAAGAGGAAGGAGAATCATCGAAGCGTGCCTTCAATATCGGCACAATCGTATTTTTTAATTTCGAGAGTGAGCAAATTCTTGTCTGCTGTTAGTTATGCTATACTTTTTTTCCAAAATATAAGAAGTTGTAGCCTGCAATCTTTATAAACTAAAAATACATAAAGTAACATCGTCATTTCTAAAATTTTCATTATGAACGTGTATGACTCGATTGAAAATTGTTAAATAAAATAAAACAGATATAGTAAAAGGATGAGTGAGAAAATGATGCCTTTATTACAAAACAACACCAGAAAGTTTCCTAATTTTACTTCGTACGATATTGAAACAACCCAGGTCGAAGCAACCGGCCCGGGAAACGGTTGGTTCCCGCGCATTCCCGCGATTTCACGGAAGCAGTATTCCGGATCGGGAAATCTACGGATTTTTCTTGTAAATTCCGCTAAGTTCCTGTTGGTTCCCGCCGGAAATCATCGGAAATCACCGGAAAAATCCGTCCTGGAACCCTGCTTCCAGGGTCCGATGATATCCGGTGTTTTCCTGCACGTTCCGGTGCGTTTCCAGTATGTTTCTGGCCAGTTCCAATGAAATCTGCTCATTTCCGGAGGCCGGAAACATCGTCCTGGGAATATGTAATTAATTTATGTATCTTCGAAAAACTTTTCAAATTCTCTAGGCTTCTGTTTTTCGGCCGGTTCGACTAGTCAAAGTTTTCTAGCACTGAAAGTGCCACACTTTCAACATTCTCCAGTTAGGTCAGCAGTGATGATTCATCACTGGTGGAGACTCTACGAACACTTCTACAGAGGCTCAACTACACTTTGAATCCGAAATCGACCGTTCGTAACGGACTCAAAGCGTTCTGCGCGCACTCCAGCTATTTTTCACGAAAAAACTAAAATGAAAACTGACCAACTTATTAAAATTCAAACCACTGTCTCACGGATAAATTTGAAAACAATTCAAAGTGATTTCAAGAATTTAATTAAGCTATAGCACATCCATTTCTTCGCAAAGCTTCCGAGATAATGCAATAATACTGAACAGACCCTGATGATGTGGAAGATTGAGTATTGAAAACTTTATTCTAATTTGCAAGTGTATTAAATATAAAATAAAAACACATGCTAACTGTTCAACGATGATCATAGCTGGATCGAATTTTAAAATGTCATGAATTTTACTTCGCTTCCAATATTTCTTGCGCTTTTCAAAAGAGAAAATGAAATCTGAGTACGTTTGCTATTTCTCTTTTCTTTTGCATTGGTCCTCTTTTTCCACAGATTCTCAGTCGAAAGCAAGATGTAAACGAAAGATTATTGATTTCGTCGTTCTAAATAACAACAATTTGGATTATCTATCGGTCAATGTGCCTTTTCTCTAATTGTGCACTTCATACACAAGCACATATTTTGATGTTTCTTCTGTACTTTGATTCTTGACGATGACAAATGTGATCGGCCAAAAGCTTGAATAAGCTGATTTCGATTAAATTCTAGTAATATTCTTTGTAATAGATGTTTATTTAATGATCTCCTCTATGAAAGCTGTCTGGTTAAGAACAAGTAGAATCTTATGTAATCGCAAGTTGAAACACGTTGAGACATTTTTAAATACACTGATGCCAATGTGAAAGTCTTAACTCGAGCAGCTTTGGAAGGATCGGATTATTGATTTACAAAGAAATTAGCAGCGTTCTATATATGTCACTAGTTGTAC